AGGGGGAGATTGTTAGAACAAAGTTTGAATCTACTACCATATGTTTAAGTTTTGATGATAACAAAATGAAAAGATATATTATTTATATGATTCATGTATGAACTATTTGCTACCTAAAAATATTACGTTCTGCTTTGCAGAAACTCTGATAGGTATCAGCAAGAGCACACTTAATCAGCATCAGAATATTGGTTCTTGACATCAACATCAAAAGTTGCTATATCAGAATACCAGAATCAGAAGATTAACTCACGTGTATGCTGAAGCTTGATGAACAGAACTGCGCTCAACACTCTGATAAAGAAAACAACAGTTCATCAGCAGTTAAGCAGAGTCAGAATGAGCCAAGCCAGAACATGCATTAAGTAAGCAACGGTACTGTGCATTGAAAGCAAATTATTACCAACGGCCTCATTCCAGACAAGATCTGCTTGATAAGGAAAGTTTGTTATTAGCATTGAATCAAGAATATTGCTCCAACGTTCAACAATCTCAGTGCTATATAAACAAGACTATGAAGATTGAATTGGCTAATGCTCTCCAACATTTCACACGCCTAAAAGCTAATCATAATCTTCCTTCTCTCAGTTTTCTAAACGCTACATATCTCCTTACTCAATCATTATTTAGCAATCTAGTTTCATAAGCTTAAGTTGTGTATACATCACAGTTGTGATACAGTTTTGTAGAAAACATTCACACACCTAGATTTATCTTCTTTGTAAGAAAGTGTTTCCTTGACAAACCGGGTTGTGGTTTGCATCAAGAAGGCTTTAGCAGTTGTTAAAGAAGTTTGTAATATTCAGTTTAATATAGTGGATTAAGACCTCGTTGGAGAGAGGCGAAATCACCTTGACGGGTGGACTGGAGTAGTTTGAGATCAAACGAACCAGGATAAAAATATCTTGTTCATTGCATTGATTTTCAGTTTTACAATTCAACCCCCCCCCCCCCCCTTCTTGTGTTTTTCACTTCTTCAATATCATCTTTACCTTGATGCTCGACATACAAGGTATGCTCACTTTGACTTCTTTCAAATCCTTGTTGAATGAAGTAGCTGTCAATTTTACTATACCATGCTCTCGGGGCTTGTTTCAACCCATAGAGAGCTTTCTTCAACTTGTAAACTTTTTCCTCTTGGCATTTAGTCACAAAGCCTTGAGGTTGCTGCACATATACCTCTTCTTTTAATTCTCCATTCAGGAAAGCTGACTTCACATCAAGTTGGTACAGGTTCCACCCTTTCTGAGCTGCTAATGCAATAACTGTTCGTACAGTATCCAATCTTGCAACTGGGGCAAAAGTTTCACTATAGTCAATTACAGGCTGTTGTGCATAGCCTTTTACTACCAATCTAGCCTTGGCTCTTTGAATTGACCCATCTGGATTATGCTTCAATTTGTACACCCACTTTACTCCAATAGCTTCTTTGTCATTTGGCTTTTCAACTAACTGCTATGTTTTGTTTTTCTCAATGGCATTTATTTCTTCTTGCATCGCATTCCTCCAAGCATCTTCTTTGATTGCTTCATCAAAATTTTCTGGTTCCACAACACAATAGTTGCATCTTGCATAAATATCACTCAAGTCCTTCAATTTTATTGGAGTTGAGCTGGGAGATGATGAACTTGAAATTTGTGAACTTGGAGAGAATGAGGAACTTGGTGTACATGGAGCTGGTTGCTCATTATCAGTTGTTGGGTTTTGTTGTTGTAATATGATTGCAGGGACTGTTTTCTCCTTCGTTTTGTCTTCTTCCCAATTCCAAGAAGCGTTCTCATCAAATACAACATCCCGACTAATGATCACCTTGTTTGTCTTCAAGTTGTAAAGTCTATAGCCCTTTGACATGGAACTATAGCCAATAAAGACACATCTTTCACTTGTTTCTTCTAGCTTTGTCCTCTTTTGTTTAGGAATTTGAGCATAGCAAACACACCCAAAAAATTTAAGATGGTTCACCGACGGTGTTCTTCCACTCCAGGCTTCAAATGGAGTCTTTTTCCACACGACCTTTGTTGGACACCTGTTCATCAAATACACAGCAGTGTTAACGGCCTCGGGCCAAAAGGTTTTAGGAAAACCTTTCTCAAGTAGCATAGACTTCGCCATCTCCATCACGGTTTGGTTCTTTCTTTCAGATACACCATTTTGCTGAGGTGTATATCCAACAGTGAGCTGTCTTTCAACACCTTCATCTTCACAAAATTTATGAAATTCATTTGAGGTGTACTCCTTCCCTCGATCACTTCTCAGCATCTTTATAAATCTGCCACTTTGTTTTTCGATTAATGCTTTAAATTTCTTAAAGATTACAAACGCTTCAGATTTTTGTCTCATGAAATATATCCAAGTCATGCGGGTAAAGTCGTCAATAAACAAGATAAAGTACCTATTTTTGCCATGAGACAAAGTATTCATAGGGCCACACACATCTGTGTGTACAAGTTCCAACACTTGTTTAGCTCTCCATGTACCTTCCTTTGGAAATGATTGTCGGTGGTGTTTGCCAAGCACACAACCTTTGCACACACCAGATTTTTCTTTGATTCTTGGCAGCCCATACACCATCTTCTTTTGATAGAGTAACTTGAGACTTTCTTAATTCAAATGCCCAAGTCTCATGTGCCATAAACACGAGTCTTTCTCTTCTCTGGCCAGCATGCTTACATTTTTCTCATAGTTAAAAGATAGTGGAAAGCTCCTGTTGCTAGTCATCTTCACAACAACAACACTTCTTCTTTCTGAGTCAAAAATTATGCACTCGTTATTCTCAAAGTTTAGAGAATAGCCGTGCTTCAGAAGTTGTCCAATGCTAAGCAAATTTTCGTCTAATTCCGGTACATATAGCGTGTCATGTATGACTATGCTTCCTTGCTTTGTGGTGACTCCAATTCTTCCTTTCCCTTTCACTATGACATGTTCTCCATTGCCCAATTTAACTTTTGAGTCAAATGAAAAATCAATGTTTATAAATGCTTCCTTCTGTCCGGTCATATGGTTGCTACAACCGCTGTCCAAATACCATACACTTTTACCTTCTTCATGTAATGCTTTTTGACAAGCAAAAAATAAATTTCCTTTATCAAATTCTCCTTCTGCGTACGAAGCATGTTGTTGATTTTTAAGGCGACAATCCTTTTGAAGGTGCCCGAATCTCTTGCAATTGTGGCATTGCGGTTTACCTTTGTTCCAACAATCCTTCTCGTCATGAGTACCGCTGTTACAAATTTTGCACCATTTGTTTGATGCTCCGTTCCATCTTCCGCCATTTGCGCTTCTTCCAGATCTGCCACGTGAGTTTCGACCTCTACCTCTGCCTCTTCCAAATCTGCCACCTCTAGAAGACTCACCTCTAGTTTGTATTTGGGGCTTATTTTCACCATTGTTTGGCTGAATGTTGAGTTTAGATTGAAAGGCACTCTCAATTGATTTTTCAGAATGTCGTAACATCCTTTTCTCGTAGAATCTCAAAGACCCCATCAACCCTTGAATAGCCAAGGTTGATAGATCCTTGGTTTCTTCTATTACCCCCACCATTGGGTCAAATCTTGCTGTCAAACTGATCAGAATTTTGTCAACAACTCTGCGATCTTCTATCGTATCACCATGTGACTTCATCTGATTCACCAACTCGGAGAGTCTGTTGAAGTATTCGTTCAGGCTCTCGTTCTCCTTCATCCTTTCATTTTCATAATCTCTCTTAAGAGATTGAAGCTTCACCGTTCGCACCTTTGAGTCTCCTTCGAACTCTTGTTGTAGGATACTCCAGGCTTCTTTCGATGTTTTAGCTCTCATAATCCTTGGGAAGATGGATAGAGAGACCCCTCTTTGAATCATCCCGAGAACTCCAGCATCTGTGATCTTCTTCTTCTTCTTCAATTCTTCAAGCCGTTGGCTTGATTCTTCAGCCTTTTCTTTTGATTTTTCAGCCTCTGTCACCGCCGGTTCTTCATAGTAGTTTTTGACATACTCGAGAACATCCAAAGATGTGAATAGAGTCTCCATTTTAACAGTCCAAAAATCATAGTTCTCTCCTTCAAATAGAGGAACTTTGACATTGCTGTAAGTTACGGAAGGGTTGTTTGTGGAAGCCATAACTGTTGTTATTTTTGCTGCAGCTGCAAGGATCTGCAGCTCTGATACCACTCTGTTGGCGGTATTCTAGAGGTGGTATGTGAAAAATTATAGTGTTGCAGGATTCTGCAGAGAAAACTATTTTTCGTCACTTTTTGTACTATACTTTTACTGGTGGATGACCATTGAAAAACTCTTTTTTTTTTAATTCACCAAACACTTCTTACTTTTAATCTTAGCATTACAAAGCCTTTATATAGGCTTGAATGAAACTGATAGAGAATACAAATAGGTTGCTAATCAAGATGAGGACTTTTTGGTTCTCTCAATTTTAATGATACAACTCTACCATAAATCTAAATAAAGACAATTATTATAATGTGATGATTACAATTCTCTCATAATGTTTCCTAAAGATAGTGGTGGTTACAACACATTAATTTTAACAGTATTGCTTGTTATACTGTGAATCTCAATATAATGAATGAAAATTTGTGTGTTTGTTATGTATGGCTGTGAATTATATAAATGTGGTGCTTTTGGTTTTGAGTTTCTTATTTTGTGCTGGTGGAGAATGAGATTTAGAAAATGTGAAATGTTAGCTAGAGATGATATATTTATAGAAATCATGAATGTTTTCTTGTAAATTCAAGAATATTCATTGCATTGGAAAATAAGTTTATTGTCATGGGCCAAGGTTGTCTTGATGGTAGTTAATGCATTAAGTTTAATGTCTATGGGTACACTTTGTGGACAGCAGTGATATTCAATACAATATTGTTGATAATTGACAGCTAAAAGGCTCTGCAATAGCATTGAAGTTCATTAACTTTTCATTCAACCACCCAACTGCATCTTCTGCTTCTCCTATATAAAAGGAGAACCGTCTTGGTTGTTATAGTATATACTTTTGAGTGAGAGAAATGAGTAAGTGGTGCATTTTGGTGGTTTTGGCTCTTGCTCTAGTTGCAACAAGTGCAAGAAATGTGCCTGCTGGAGAGGCTGGTTTGAAGGATGAGAAGACCTTTGGTGGATTTGGTGGATTTTCAGGAATTGGTAACAATGGTTTTCCATCTGGAGGTGTAGGTGGTGACGCTGGTGGTGGTGGACTTGGCGGACTAGGCGGTGGTGGACTCGGAAATATTGGAGGTGGTGGTGGTGGACTCGGTGGAATAGGAAGTGATAGCGGTGGACTCGGTGGAATTGGAGGTGGTGGCCTTGGTGGCCTCGCTGGTTCTCCTGGACTCGGAGGATTTAACGGGCTAGGTGGTGGTGGACTTGGAGGTTCTGGGGGTGGTGTCTTTCCTCATCCTTGACTGACAAGTTAATTACTATATATGGAATTTACTCTATTCAATAAAATAAAACTTAATTATAGTAGAACTTCGTTATAGCAGGTTTATTGTTATTACAGTTGTTTAATGTTAGTGTTTTATCAAAGATTATATTATTCACCTAAAGATAAAGTGTTAGCAAGTACTATTTTATTTTGTTGTCGTGTATTCTTCTTTCTGATGTAATATGTAAGGGAGTACATTTCATGTTGTACGAGTTTATTAGTTAAACTGAAAATTTAAGTATATGAAATATTATAGATTTTAACATGTGCATGTTTTTCTCCAGATCCAAGTCATTCATACCTTATTACCTGTTTTATATATATATATATATATATATATATATATATATATATATATATATATATATATATATGCATGGTTATTAAGATCTCGATCTAGATCTTAAAATATTTTATGATCTCACTCACTTCCAACAATTCAGATCTTAAGTAGAATCACGTGTTATAGTCAAATTATTAATAATTCCGTAAAATCTTTGATTTTGTGCGATCTTTGTCAACTTGAGTCATGATTGGCCGTTTTCCAACCACTACATTAAAAAGTGAGAAGGATACCAAGATGTAAAGGCTCAACAATTACGGTTCAGCGGAGATGAATTTACACCTTTTGAAATGAAGTTTTAGATTTAGGGTTTAGAGAATAAACTTCTCACTTGTAGGATTTGTTTTAACCACTTGACTTATTATAATCCTAGTAATTGACCATATGTGTTCCTAATATCTAAACATTAACAAATGTTCAATAAAACTTCAATCATAAATGTCTAAAGAATATGAAAAATAGTCATTTTCTCACAAATACATTTGTCTACTTACATATATCATATAAAAATACTTCAAACATATACTATTATTTTTTTCATTTTAGTAGGATCTTACGATTTTTGTTGCGGTCTTATGTTTTATGATCTTGTTACCCCCTCTCGATCTTACAAAAATAATTGAGTAAGATTTTTTGATCTTAACAATGGTTTTATATTTTACGATCTTACTATTCTCTCTCAATCTTATGTAAGATCTCGATCTTGACAACCTTACATATAAGTGTGTATTATAACCATACACTTTGTTGTATATTTAAGTAGACCACATCAATTTATGCATTTTTTTTTAAAGATATTTCTCATTTAAGAAGATTTAAAACTCCCGCTTATTTACTTTAGAAAAAAATTATTACTATTCACAAGCACAATACGTTTCACTTTTGTATTAATTTACTACAGTAAATTAATTTTTTATTGTTTAAACATATAGTGGTTCCTTTTTGTAAAAAAAAAATTATGTGATGGTTGATCTTCATCTGCAGTTTAATTTGAAACATTTGATCACTATCTTGCATGGAAGAATAAAAGTAACTAATTTGATTATAGTTGTTTATTTTGATTAACAAAAGCACATATTTTGAATATATTCATGTATGATCAACAAATTAAACACATTTTACTCTATGTGTAGGTAGCAGAAATTTAGCAGGTTAAGTGTTAATTTTTTTTTCCATGATATTAGGGGTGTTCGCGGTGCGGTTTGGACGGTTTTGAAGCAAAAAATCATCCGCAAGAAAAAAAAATATGCGGTTCGGTTTGGTTCGGTTAGCTTTTAAAAATAAATCCGAACCAAACCAAACCAAACTAATGCGGTTTGGATTGGTTCGGTTGTTTCGGTTTTTTACAAAAATAATTATTATGTCATACATACAAATATATAGGAAAATATAATTTTATATTTAATTGTTCATACATTACCATAAAAAATTTATAATTGTCAAAATAAATTTATAATTTAATACATAAAATTGCGTATTATAATTTTATCTAAATCTAAATAATGATATCAACAAGATTGCATTCTTAAATAAATATTATACAAAGAATATGATAAAATATATTTTGTGAAAATAGTATTTATAAATGAATAATATTTTATTTTTTATGATTTGTAAATTAAAATGAATATAATACAAAGTATGATAAAATATACACATAATACATGTTGATTTCTCTAAAGAATTATAGAAATATATATTGGTTAGTAAGATTTTATAACATAATGCGGTTTTGTTTGGTTTGGTTCGGTTTATAAAATACAAACCGTAAACCGAACCGAACCACGCGGTTGCACGAGAAAATGACTCAAACACATTCGAACCAAATGCGATTTTTTACAGTTTCGATTTGGTTTGGTTCGGTTTTGCAATTTTCTATTGGGTCAGTTTGGTTTTGAACACCCCTATATGATATGTTTTAGACAAATTGAAGGATGGTAATTTCTCTATGCTAATTACTAGTAGTAGTAGTTTGTAGTCTAACTTTATGGGAATTAAACGGTGTGAAATTTTTGGTGTAAACTATAGCTAGTTATAGGTGTCTTAACTTCTCAACTGTATATTTATTCTTTGAATCTAAAACGTCAATGGCATTTACACTATCGAACTAGCAACTGGGAGATTAAGATGCTTTAAGTAGTAATTTAAGTAGTAATAAGTCACTTTCCAATTGAATGAAATAAGAACTATATTGGCCAACTAAATGTCCCGTAATAATTGTCTTAGAAAAATATGTTCTAAAAATAGTGATTTAGTTTTTAATGTTTCATTAATTGTTTTTTTTCAATATATATATATATATATATATATATATATATATATATATATATATATATATATATATATATATATATATATATATATATATATATATAGGATACTACAAAGTCTCAATTTGGATAAAATGGAAGTGAAAGTAGGAGAGTGCAAGGGCTTGGTGAACACATCTGTTAGTTGTTCCTTAGTAGAGATAGGCATCAAGTGGAGAAGTTTGGACAGGATCTTTTCTCGAATAACATGACAATCCAACTCAATGTGCTTATTCCTCTCATGAAATGTAGGGTTGTGGGCGAGATACACTGTTGATTTGTTGTCACAATATACAGAAGCAGGCTGAGAAAAATCAATGAGAAAATCATGAAAAAGAAACTGAAGCCATTGCAGCTCACAAGATAAGGAAGCCAAAGCTCTGTATTCGGCTTCAGTGGAAGAACGAGAAACTGTAATTTGTTTCTTAGATTTCCAACAAATGAGTGATGAGCCAAGTATAACACAAAAACCTGTAACGGATTTGCGAGTCTCTGGGCATCTGGCCCAATCAGAATCTACAAAACCATATAATTGGAGAGAACTGGTAGCAGAAAACATAATTCCTTTAGCAGGTGCAGACTTGAGATAACGGAGGATTCGAGTGGCAGCCTAATAATGAGGAGCAAGAGGCTTGGAGGTATATTGACTCAAATGCTGGACAGCATAAGATATATCAGGTCTGGTATTTGTGAGATAGATTAGGCGCCCAATAAGTCTCCTGTAAGAGGAGGAATCATCTAGAGGATGACCCTCTGAAGTAGACAACTTCAGATTAGGATCAAATGGTACAGGAGAAGGTTTGGCTGCCAAAAAACCTATGTCTTCAAGCAACTGAAGAGTATATTTTCTTTGATTCATGAAGATACCCTTAGTTGACCTGGAAATCTTAAAGCCTAAGAAATATCTCAGCTTGCCTAAATCTTTGATGTTGAACTGTTGATCCAAAATATGCTTAACATAATGAATCTCATCAAGGGAATTTCCAGCTAAAACTATGTCATCCACATACACAAGTAAGGCTGTGAAACTGGTGGATGTGGACTTAACATACAGAGAACAGTCAGCTTGAGATTGTGAATAGCCTAGAGATATCAGAAATGAAGAAAGCTTAGCATACCATTGCCTACTAGCTTGCTTCAAGCCATACAAGGATTTTTGAAGTCTGCAAACCTGTGAAGGATTAGAAGTTACTAAGCCAGGTGGTACTGTCATATACACTTCCTCATTTAAATCTCCATGTAGAAAAGCATTGTTGACATCTAATTGCTCTAGATGCCAACCTTTGATGGAGGCTATGGACAAAAGAACGCGGATTGTGGTAATCTTAGCCACGGGAGAGAAGGTATCAAAGTAGTCTACTCCCTCCATCTGTGTATAACCTTTTGCCACAAGTCTGGCTTTGTATCTTTCTATGGATCCATCTGCCCTATATTTCACCTTATAGACCCATATGCACCCAATAGGCACCTTACCAGGTGGAAGATCCACTAATGTCCAAGTATGATTATCAGCAAGAGCCTGGAATTCAACATTCATAGCATGCTTTCAACATTCAAATTTGTTAGCCTGTTGAAAACTAGAAGGTTCAGGATTAGACGAAATAGAGGAACATAAATGATGAAAATCTGGAGAACAGTTTTTGTATGACAGAACTGATGACAAAGGATAAAGGGCTTTAGAGGAGGGAGGACTGGCATAGGTAGAAAAACAATGATAATCAGCAAGATATGAGGGAGGGTGAGAGGTTCTAGTAGAATGTCTTGTAGGAGGCTGATTACCATGGGAGGGAGTGTTATCAGTTGGATTAGCAGGAGTGGGAGAAGGATTGATAGGTAAAGGAGAATTATGGATAGGAGAGTAAGAACCAAAATTATCATTGATGGGAGGGTTGAGAGAAGAACTTGAATTGGGAGAATCAGGGGCAAGGGCAGCAGACAAGGTATTATCTGATGGTTCAATGGTAGGCAGGGTATTGACTAATGGTTCAATGGGGGCTGTATTATCACATAGAGTAGGGTCAGGATTTGTACAATCATCACAGGAAGGGACAGAACTACTGCTATCTTGGGAAGAAGGTTGAAATTTGAAAGGAAACATATTTTCATAAAAGATAACGTGTCTGGATACAAAGATATTGTGATGTGTTAAATCATATAGGATATATCCCTTAGTTCCCTCTTTATAACCTATAAAGACAGCCTTGTGTTCCCTAGGGTCAAACTTGGTCCTATGAGCCATAAGAGATGTAGCATAGGTTAGACAACCAAAAACTTTAAGGTGAATGAGGGATGGAGGCTCTTTGTACATAATTTCATAAGGACATT